CGTTTATTCTCATTCAATTTACCACTTATTCTGAACTGTTCATTTTATCAATATTGAATGCCTTTCATTTATTGATTATTTCTGAGAATTAAGAATCAGAGAGCTATTTTCTAGCTGGCTAGACAATCTTAAGTGTGTATTGCTAACCAATCCCTTTGCTATTCTACAGAAAAGCAACTATCTTTAATTCTGGTAGGCCTGGGAATTATCTTTCAACTCTGTGTCTGGTTTTACTTTTCCTTATTCATTTGTTTGGACTCTATGATAGAGTTCATTTTACTTTTGGCACCATGTTTAAGGACGTCTCGTACACATGGGTGAGCCCTAAGGAATGGCATTGCTATAGGTAAAGATTAGAAACTGAATGCATTTTAACTTGAAACAGCTGTGTGAGGAGATTAACATGGATTCGGTTTTAAAGCTGTACCTATCTATAATCAGGTCGATTCATTCCCAAGAGTAATACATTTATTTCGCAAAAGAACTGAAACATTGTGTTCCAATTCTCAAACCTTTTGGCCTCATTAAATTGGGCTGTATATCTGCAGCCTCATTTATCAGTTCTCTGGATGTACCTCATCACACCTATCTGGGTGCTCTGACTGATTTCTGATGTCATCTGGGTGAAAAATGAGTGTAAATGAACCATTCAGCAGCCACATTAATGCCAAGCAAGGGGTTTGGGGGAAAAGTAGGATTCAAAGAGTAGCTTTCTGATTTTTTTTTTAAACTCATCAAACATTCTTATGACTTTGTAATTTTAATGTTTTTAAGCTATAAGTGAACTTCTTTTTTAAAAAGCATATTTTAAAATAAAGTTATAATCAAATATGGAATTTTAAAGAGTATTGAAAGCTCATGCCTATTTAAATATATCAAATTTCATTTTTACATATTAGTCATTTGAAAGACAATGTGGTTAGTAAATACTGAGTTGATAAATTTACTATGTAACACATATTAATGTTGCAGGTACAGAATTGGTCATACATATCCTTAGATGACAAAGAGAGACAATTATTTTCCATATCAGTGTCTGTGGGCTGTCAGTGCTTCAGATAGTGTGGGTGCCTGGGTGGGAGGTTGGGAAGTTTGAATGAGAAAGGGAAGTTGGAAAGCATTCCTCAATTCATCCACAACATTTAAAGCTATATCTGAAGGTGCTGAAAAAAAATCTTTCTTATGCATACATAAACAATTTTAGTATGTGCACATATACACACTATATGCACACATATGTCCTTGACATAAACAATTAACTATGTAAATGTTGTCTGGACAAAATACAAATACACCCAGAGGTATAACTGAATTAAAAGTGGTTGTCTGCCATCATCTATTATAGTTTCACTGTCAGTGGATACAGAACATGAAAATATCAAGAGATGAATATTTGTTTGTTTAACAAAGTTTTCCCATGTTAGAAAATCAGTGAAGCTATTGAACTTGAAAGACGAGGGTATTTTAAATGTGAGACAACACTGTTTCCAGAAATATAATTCTTAGTTGTCCAGACACACATACTTATTTCAGAAATCTATGATCTGTACCTCTCTCAATCCCTCTTCCTTTAAATATCTCCATCTATTATTCTTTCTATGTTTTGTATCAATAAGCTTTCCCTGTCAGTGTTTCTTTTCACTAACCTATAATATATAATTAATTAGCTCTCCCATCTTAAAAAAATGTATATACACACATACATGTGTGTGCAGACAACTTGACTCTGAGTTGTCTATCTTATTTTTTTCACAATGTTTCTCTGCAAAGTTTCAACGATTTTAGAAAAAGTAGTTTATATTCAGATTTCTACTTCCTCAACTCTCATTTACTTCTCAAACACCTGTTGGCTTTTACTCATACCACTTTATATAAGAAAGCTCATGCCACAGTCACAAGGAATCCCTTGTTCCTGGGGATACTATGAACAGAGGGGATGTTCATTTTAAATAGATATAAATATGGCGGGCTTTATCTGAGTATGTAAGGATGTGTGTATGTTTGTGTATCACAGAACTTTGCTGTAGACACTTAAATTAGAATTATAGAAATATAGTATCTATTTACAAAAACATCTTAATTTTTATGTTAGATAAAAATAACTTTTATTTCAAAATCATGGAAACTAAGCACTAACTGATTAATTTTCAAAGCTGCTTTGGCATTAACACAGGGTGTGTGCCCTCAAAACACAGCAGTCAATAAATTAATAATAAAAAAAGGATTGTTGACTATGAATAAATTCATTAGTTTTACAAAAGTAAATGTGATAGGAATCATTTAATATGCGGCTTAATGCGTCACAAATGCCTTTGTTTAAAAAGTTGAGTTCCCATAAAAGGTGAAGGGGATGAGAAGCAGTGTTTCAAGATAATAATATTTGGATTGGACATTTTAGGACAAATACATAGAAAAATAGCTTTAAACTAGCAAATTCTTCATTTAGTCAATAAATGGAAAAATTTGTGAAAATAGAAGGTTGAATGCAATTGTTTTCTTAGGAATAAAACCTTTGTATTAAAAAAAAAAAGAGGACTAAAGCAAAACTTATGATATGTCACCAAGACAAGTTATTGTGTTAATCCTGGATGTAGAGTTTTGGAAGAGCAGAAAAAAATTTACAAGTTTAGATGAAAATTACTTATTCTCTTTTTATATGTTTATATTATTTTTTTTAAAGTTGTGTGCTCCTTAAAATTAAGATACACTTAGGCACAAATTCTGATATAGGGTGTAAAATCCATTGTCATACTTTTATACATTTAAGAAACTTCTTTTATGAAAAAAAAAATCTAGAGGTGAATAAAATTTCTGGTGGTTGGTTTGCATGATTAATAACGGATAAGATAATTTATCTAAACTTACATCCATTATGAAACAATACAAGTAACAGGGTTTGCACTTGCTTCTATCATAAAACAATAAGATGTACTTAAAATTATGACTAAGTATAAGATACTAAAGTCTCTGTGAAATTATAAGAGTAAGATTAATTAGTAGAATTTTGAGATACAGCTGAATTTTAGGTTAAATTTATTATGTTTTATTTGAATTCTTTAAAACACGGTAATATTATTTAAAATAAATAAGCTGAATATTTCTTGCCCCATGTTATGTTTTATAATTATGAATTTGTCCTGCAATAGAAACCATACTTCCAACTTTGTTAGTCTCCACTTATTGTTATGTATTAAGAACTATTTCAGAATCGGTGCTCTCTGGGGGATAACTGGAGTTCAATGTTATACAAGACGCAGGCCCAGTTTTGCAGGACCTTGTAATCCAGAGAGCAGACAAAGGAGAGATCCCGTGGGTGGAGTACAGTGTGGGGGGGCACATAGGTTTCCACATAGTGTGCTGTGGCATCAGGGCACAAGTTCTAAACAAGCCTGAAAGGGGAGGGGAGTGTCAGGGACATCCTCCAGGTGGTGGTATTGCCCAGAATTTGGAACAATGATTAGAAGTTACTAAATAAGGTAAGTAATATCCATTATATCTTAGGTTAATGCATCTGCATCTTCCCATTACTTTTAATTTTGATCATTTTTTTGGAAAGAAATATTCATAAAATCAAGTAATCATTTCAAAGTACTCATAGTCAACAGTTCAGCCCATTTACCAACTTTTTCAAAAGGAATGGCTTCTCTATACTATTAAAATAACCAGTTGTTTAGAAAAAAACCCTACATTAAACTCACGTTATATGACATAAGTATAGCATATGCAGTATTCAAAGAGTTGAGTATTAAAAAGATCTGTGATTAATTTGAAGTTTATGTGTATATATGTTTTCAATTCTTTGATCATATTTAGATCATATATAGGCTAAAAAGCACCTAAGAATGTTTCAAAGTGTTCCAAAAATTTTTCATCAATACTGTACCCCATTATTCACAATATTTCGCCTGCAAATCTAAAGATATTAATTAGTATATGAGGGGTGACAAAAAATACAGTGGGGCTGGACGAATGGCATGTTGGTTAAGAGCTGGCTTGGGACACCAGAGGGCCCCCGGTTCGGATCCCACATATGAGGGCCAGTGACACTGCCCTCCACAGCTAAGATGCTGAACAACAGCTCAACCTGGAGCTGGGCTGCTGTGAGTTGCCAGCGACGGTGTAGGCTGCAGTGAAGCTGCAGTGGGCTGCCATAAAGCTCCCGTGAGTGGTTGGCAGCCAGCGTGAGCTGCCAAGATCCGCCATGAGCGGCCGTCCAGTGGCCAGTGACTGATCTGCCTCACCCGGGAAGAGTGCAGTGATAATACCAACATGAGCCAGTGAAGCGACATCCTCCACAACTAGACTGAAGAACAAAAAGACAGCAACTTGTCTGTTCCCCTTCCCCCAATTTCCTAATAAAATCTTAAAAAACAAAAAAGTCATTGAAACAAATATATTCCATCCTTAAGACAGTCATCTTCACATTCTTTGCTTATTGAACTAGTACACCTATTAAAGATTTGTCTAAAATCGTTTCTTAAAGTAAAAGGTTTTCAAATGAGGATGCAGTTTTTGCTGTTGTGAATTGCTTTGATTTGTAAATCTGCAAAATAATGATTGTGGAGACAATCTTTTGTCTATAGAAAATTTTAGTATCATTATACTAATTTTTAATAATTAAATTATATCATGCATTTATCCTAGAAAAGCTTAAATTGTACCTAGTTTTCCATTCTTTTCTGGTTTCTCTCTTTCTATAACATTTTCTTACGTAAAATTTCTGTAGAAGGATCAAATAGGATTCTATAGGTCAAAATTATTTTACTGCAAAAATTATGTTATCAAATTAGTCATAAGGTACTTCTGAATCTCATAAAAATTTTATATTTAATGATTATCTAATTCAGACCATGGTTTATAATCCATGATAAGTATGACTTGATAGTCAGCACGTTGGTGTTTTTAGCCGGGAATTCCTCCTTTTACTCCTCCCTCACTAACTCTTCTTAAATACCACCTAAATTAATATTAAAATTAAGATACTATGAAATTGCACTCACTTTTTTGTCTTTATTGTATTTGGTAAATATCTCCTGGGCTCTCTCTTCTCCCCCATCCGTGAACAACATGATAATCTTATTGCAGTTGGCTCTGGAAACATTATACTGTTAAGAAAAAAGCATATTACTCATAATAAAAGGTAGGAAATATACAGCATATGAAACAGCATGACCAGGTTGTGAATAATGAGCAAAATATCTGCTCAACAAGTATATTCTAACACTAGCTCCTGGCTCAGGCCAGGCCCACCCCTAACAGGGCCTCCCCTTCACGCCCCGCCCCTCCGCAGACCTCCATAGGTTTTACCTCCTTCTGGTCTTTGATCCAATGTTACCTTATCAGTGAAATGTACCTGAAAACTACATCTTCAATTGTAATCTCCCTCCCAGGCTGCATTTTTCTTCATAGCATTTTATACTCTTTTATATATACAGTACCTATTTTATTTGTTTGCTTATTGTTGGCTTCCCATGATTGAGTGTAAGTCCTACAGGAACTTACACGTGAAGTTTAGCCTTTTTTTGTGTTGTTCAGTGTTGTTTCCTTGCCTGGATAAGTGTTTAGTACATAATAATCAGTCAGTGGTTGATTAATAAATGTATTTTAATTAAGTTATTATGTCAATTTCATGTCCCTATCATTTATACCAGAAACAAGTAATGTTAATTTAAAAATGTGCATAACCTTTCACATGCATTTTCAATCCATTTACAAACATCTTCCCTCTCTTCCCTCTATATTCATCATATTTTATTCACTTTACATTTCCAGAATTATAAACTCCCACTCGATCCCTAACACCCAATGCTCTTTCACATCTTTGTAAATGTCCATACCTAGTCCCAGAATATCCTCCTATCCTCTCTCAACCCACGACCCATATTCTAATCCTGAAAGACTGAATTCTAATAGTAAAATCCTCTCTTAAACTTTCTTTAAGGTCCCAAAGGAGTACAGTGGATTAGCACTAAAGGGCAACTAAAATGAACAATTAATTTAGAAGTCTGGACTTCTTTGCGATCTAAAATTATATCTCAGCCTTTCTACCTTTGTTAAATGTGTTTGAGAAAGTGCTGAAATTAAAAGAGTACACTAATTTATGAATGCTGAGCTTCTTTCAAAATGTTAGCCCTCTAGCCCCATGCTGTTCAGTGGAGATATAACGTAAACCTAATTTGTAATTTTTACTTTCCAATAGCCACCTTAAAGAAAGAGGAAATATCTGAAATTCATTCTAATGATATATTTCATTTAACTCAGTCATCCACAATATTATCAATTCAATATGAAATCAATATAAAATTTATTGAGATAATATAGACTGTTTTCTTTAATAATAAGTCTTCAAATTTCAGTGTGTATTTTATACTTACACATATACATTTATACACATTTTGATTCAGACCAGGCACATTTCAGGTGCTCAACAGCACTGGACACCACAACCTTGGCCTTTAAATTACTAATGTTTTTAAAAAATCATTAATTCTCCTGTAGTGTTTAAGCTTATGAAGGTCCATGCTCTACCCCATTTCCTGTTGAAGTTAATAATGACAACACTTCCATCTACTGATAAAAAAATCCTATACATAATAGTCTCACCCCATTGGCTAGGCCATTACAACATTGGTAGTTAAAGCTTTTATCCAAGTATTGTGAAAACACAAAGATTGACTACTATAATTTGCCCCATTCAAATATGGTTCTTATCTTTGAAGATAATAATCTGAAAATTTGACTATATAAAAAGTTATATATTTTATCATCAAAGTATTTTTTTCATGGTTAAATATTTTTATACTTATACTTTATTTTGGTTTAGGACAAGATATTTTTGTGAAAGGTGTTGAAATCCCTTAACTAAAATTACTTTTTCTGATAATTTGTCTTTCTTATCTGCATATTTAAAAATGGGCAAAATAATATGTATATAAAGGACTATTCATTAAAAGTGATAAAGTAAGTAAAGTTTTTATAACCAGAATTGATTTCACTTTTGGAAGTGATGGAGGTATTATTTTTACTGAATATAAATATCAATAGAAATTAGCACACTGGGTCTTGCTGATCATTTGTATAAATAAAATAATAATAACCTTTCCAAGGAGAGAGAGAGAGATATTAGGACACACGTAAAAAGGGAAATACAGAAATGTTTCATTTTCAGCATGATTTTTCTTAGGGGTAGCCTTCTCAGGGCTTGTGATAGAGCTAAGTACATCATAGCAACTTCTCAGAGGATTTGCAATTATCTACAGAATCACACAATCACAACAATTATTCCTTAATGGCTTATAAAAAATTAAGTAAAGGAAAGAACTTTATTATTTCAATAAAATTGCAATGAGTAGAGATGGTAATTTACGTTAATGTTATTTCATAACCTGCTTTGTTGTATCCCTGTGTGGCCAGCACACAGTGCAGCATCCTACATATCTGCACTCGATGAAAATTTTCTGTTTGAAAAAAATGCATCTCATTATATCTAGAAATACTTTATGAAATGCTACCTAAAGACTAAGTCAAATCTTAAGGTTTACTATGGGATAAATGATATGTCTAATTCTATTTGATACTCTCTTTGGTAATCTTAAAGGTAAACTTTGCAAGGACATACACACAGCAGGCATGATAATAAGACTAGAAGTGTTAGAAAGAGATAACAAAATACGCTTTGACTTTGAATAAGGCAGTCCATAACATTTGCGAAAGTTCTTTTAAAATGGAGAAGTGCAATACATAAGGGATGTGTGGAAAGCAGAACATTTGGGATTTATTCCAGGAATAACTGAGACATATTAAAAATCATTCACAATGGTGGTAAAGGCAGTACTAGAGGCCAATAGGAGGAAAATTATATTTTATCAGAAACTAGTAATGAATCTGGGAGTTAATGTGGCCTCTCTAATGAGACTGCCTCTACAATAGTTCATTTGGCTTGAGACCCCAAATCATTTCACAATTGAAACCTGAATAGGAGGGAATCAAGTGAGGTAAATTAACAATACTAAGAAGAATAATTGAAATGGCAAGATTTAGAAAAGTTGGTTATTGATCCAAGAGAAAAATAATTTTTATTTAAAAAAATTGTATTCCTTTACTACAGAAAGAATATATCTCAATCTAATGGTCAACTACATTTGACTTTCAAAGTTTTAATTGTTCATTTTTTTTATTATGAACATGCAACACTTAACAAACATTCACTTTACCAAAGGTAACTGCCCTTGAAAACTGCAGCGATGAACTCCTTTGCTTTATGGTTCCCTTACTTGCTTATCTAATTGTATCTACTAAACATCAGCACATCAAACTCAACATGACCGCACCTGAGCTCTTTGTACCCTTCCATTCTGTCTATCTAGATTTCTGTGCCCTCATCCACTTGGTATTCCAGTTCAGAGAGCTTACAGTCACCCAAGTCCCCTCCCCGTCCCGGCAACCTCTTCCCCTATCCAGTTCCCCGTCACTCCTTAACATCTCTTCACTCCTATTCTCACACCAGGATTTTGACGATAGCTTCCTAACTTAGAGCGCTAGTTAGACCATGTCATTTTCAGACCATAATATTTTGGTTTGCTGCTAAAGACTTCAGTACCTGACATCTCACGGCCTTTCTGTTTCCATCGCTGCTCCTGCATGGCTATGACTCAGCCGTGCCAACTGCCTGCAATGCCTGCAGTGGGCCATGTTGTCCGGCATACACGCTTGTACTTCTATGCCTTCCTCCATGCAGTTCTTCTTATCTGAAATGATTTCCCCTCTCTCACCTACCTACCTATGTTCTACTCATTCCTCAAAATCCTGTTTCCAAGGAAATGCCACACTTCCCTGACCTCTGTCGGGTAAGTTAAGTCCCTCCTCCATGCTGCTCCAGCAAACACACTCCGAATGCCCTGAAATGGCACTTCCACATTGTACTAGGAATAATCATTTAATGTATCATGCTGGGCCTTCTTGAGAGCAAAGGGCCGTGTTTACCTCTATGATTCTAGCTCTAGCACGGTGACAGGAAACTGTCAGGCGCTCAATCAATATTGGCTGAATGAACAAATGAAGGGATCAACTAATCAGACATCTTGAAAAGTGTTTAGAAGACTCAGTTAGTGGACAACAAAGTCAGATTTGCAGAAAAGACCACGTGTAAGGGCCTTCTCAGTGATTCAGCAAATATGATAGGAATTATGAGCGGACTCTGTACCAGCCACGTGCTAGTCATTAATTACGGTAATAATGATCACAACTCTTAACACCAGCCCAACTTCCAGACACGAGGTTTGCTGTGTGCCAGCTTCTGTCCACAACCCTCTGATGTACATGCTATGGCGACTCCCACTGTGTAAGTGAGGAGACCAAGGTACAAAGAGGTTAGTTAGGTCTACACTCTCAACCATACTGATCATATTATCTCTCCTCTTGAGAGATACAAAAGTGAATGATGGCTCCTGCTTTCAAATAATTCAAAATGAGATAGATGAAACAGCCATTTGAAAATACAGTCCACACTGAGATGCCTGCTGTAACATGGGCAAGCAGTCGGCATGCCAGAGTCGGACAGTCTAGCTGTAGACATGCACAGGTGACCTCGTTCAGGGCAGTCTTCCCAGAGGAAGCAATTCCTGCTCTGGGACTTCCTGTTCACCTTAATATCTACCATGTGGACGTTTCTATACATTTAGAAACAACTTAAAGACCCAAATCAGATGTTTAAAACTAAAATATTTCCAGCAACCATTCGATGACTAAAAGCACAAGTTTCTAGATAAATACTGTAGCAATTGAGATAAGAAAAAATAAATGATACTCTAAATAAGCCCACCAAGTTTTAAGTGCTTATGCAAAATGAAATCATTACCTTACAAATGTGATTTTTAAACATCATTTGAATGATGGAAGAAAAGATCTAAAAGGAAAAGAAAATCTACATTTTGTATGCTTTTGAATTTTGGATTTAGAAATAAAAGTAGTTCGAAGATTCCTACTGTCTGGACACATCTGCTTTCTGAATAAATGAAAACAGCACTGTTCTCTAACCCCAGTTAGCAGTAACTATCAGGAGGATGAAATTCAGCTACTACAATTAAGTAATAACAGAGAAAAGGGAATGGTATTGATACTTACATTAAGCAGCTGTTCAAAAGCAAAACTAAAGCCCTTCTTGTAATCTGTGATTCCTTTCGCAGTAATATTATTTACTGCATCTTTCAGTACTTTCTTATTTCTTACATTTGCTTGCACAAGGTGCTGAAAACAGCTTACATCCTGGGCATTGCTGTTAAACTGCAAAAGATAACAAAAGTGAATATATAAATGAACATGAAAATCAACCAAGTAATTTTTGTTGAATTTGTTGTTTGTACTTCTCAATCCTGTTGCATTGCTTTATTTTTCAAAACAAAAAAGATGAATGGATAATGGATTGGTAACAAAAGTTCACTAAGGATCAAATAGCAATTTTCACCTAAGCCCCCACCTCATACTGTAACCCTGAGCTGGTCAATTACCTCCTGAAGTCTGGTTTCCCTGATTATAAATTTGGGATTTGAGGTATGTGAGGGCCCTGCCAGCTCTCAATGTTTACGAGCATTTAGACAACCAAAGCCCAACACATAATGAAATATATTCAGAATCCAGAAATGATGACGCCTGTGCAGGAGACAGGGAAAAACTGAACCTTTACTTGTCTTTAATAAGGAAAAGCTAGATGAGTAAATAGTTGACTGAATTCAAGGAAAGAGGTTTAATACTTTTGAAATTTGAGAGTACAGTCTTCCTTTGGGGGTTCATACAGGAAAGCGATCTGAAATTATCAGGAACAACAGGTGGGCTCTTAGAACTCTCACTCCACAGGTCACGTACAGACTGCAGTGGAGTCAGGGGGACAAGATACAGGGCAAGACATCACTGCAGTCACTGCTGTGAGTGGTGAGGCCTGAGCGACAGAGAGGCTGCTGGGGAGACAGCATAACCTCCAATGGCACCGGCCCCAAATTGAGAATTTAAGAATGATCGCCAAAGTAACTTCACCAACCCTATAAAAAGTACTCATATAGTTCACTGGATATTTCCAAAAAGATACGAACAACGGGAATACTACAATAAGACCCAGAATAGTAAGATGAGTGGGATCACCCAATCATTGAGCAACTCTGCTATTTGTAGAATTCCCTCAGGCTCCTGGGGCCTAGATTGCCACATCAACAAAATGAGAATAATCATAAAAATATACTTGTCAGAGGGGAGGGGGCTAGGTAGACAAAATGTTGAAGCTATCCTCAGATCAAAAACATATAATTAAATGATTTCAACAGAAGATCACAAGCCGAAATATAAATTTTATGTGATCACATAGTCTTATAAATATAATGCATCATCCTTTTTTCTCTGAAGATCACTGAAGCCTAATTATAAGGTGCACTGCACTTTTCACCAATCCATTAAGCAAATATTTACTAGCAGCCTGTTATATGTCTAGAGTTATGGCAGGTGATAGTTTTGTGCCTTCAGACATTAAGTAAACTGGGCATGCTACATACATGTATATTTGTATGTATGTAAACACTTACATGGTGTTTACAATGTGCTGCATTTACTATGTACTCCACAAATATTAATCATTCCTCTTGGCAAATGCCCTGCCAGATTACTGTTATTATTATTCATGAAGAAGCTTAAGCAAAGAGAGGTTAAATAATTTGTCCCTAGTAACACAGCAAATAAGTGATGGAGAATCAGCACTGGGGCAGAAGAGTTTGGGATTGTAACTATTCTCACACGGCCTCTCACCAAATTACAATAAATTATGATTACTTCTGGAAAGCAAGATAATATCATGTCCTAGAAGACAATATCAGGGGAAGGGGTTCTAATTTGGACTGTGAGCAGTTAGGGGAAATTCCATGAAAAAAAAAAAGGGGCATTTCCTGTGATTCCAGAGAAATGTTTCATATGAAGACTATGGAGGAAGAACATTCCAGGCAAATAGAACAACATATAAAAAGGCTCTGAGGTGGGGGGAGACCAGGGGAGCCTTTTAGGAAAGCATGAAGTAGATTTTAGCTTAGTCACGTATGAAGACAGATGGCATACCATGAGCTCAGGGAGGTAGGCAGGGGCTACGTCATGCAGGCTCTAATGGAAATGGGATGAATTGGGATTTTATTTTCTGTCAAATGGAAAGTCAGAGAAACATTTTAAGCCCAATGAAAAATAACATAATCTGGAATTTTAAGAGATCATCTTAGCTACTATTTGGGAAACGGATTTAAGGTGAGCACAATTTAAAGGAGGGGGGATAGTTAGGAGGCTGTGGCAGTAACCTACTGAACATACACAGTAGCTTTGTTATTTGTGGAGACAGTCAGGAAAGCAGGGATTCCAATCTATTTTGGAGGAGGAATTGATAGGAAATGGTGGTGGACTGGGTATGCGGTTGAGTAAGCGAGTGGTATCTTGATTGACTGCCAGGTTCTGACAGGGGCCTCTGGATGGCCGGAGGCCTGATGAGTGATGGGCTCAGGAATACTTACAGGATAGCGAAGAGCAGCCGGGAGTTCAAGGGAGGGTGAGTTTTCAAGGTAAGTGAGAAATGCAAATGGAGATGTCAAGCTATGATAACATTTAAAGCATGAAGACCAAAAGAAGTCTCAGTTAAAGATTAAAAAAAAACCCAAAAACTTCACCGTAGCTATTTGGTTTAAAACCATGTGATAAAGTGAAGTAGAGGAGGAATCCTTGAGAAAACTGAGTAATGAGTTAAGTTCCTTCCATGGAGGCAAGGAAGAAAGAAGGTAATTGGACTGACTTGGATGATGAGAGAGAAAAAAAGTCTCAAGAAGACACTGCGGTTCAGAGACAGAGAAGATGAGGACTGACCGAATGCAGCCACCGCGACATAGTAGTCTCTGTGGGGCAGAACCCAGGGGAACGCACAGAAGAACAAGGGGAAGTGTGCGCATGTGCTGAGGCTCCTCTTCAAAGCACACAGGGGAAGCAGTGAAGAAAACGAGGGGGCGGGGTTAGGGCGAACCTGGGGTCAAGGAAAGGCTTCTTTAAAATGAATGGTCACTATAGCAAGAGGGGACTGATAGTAAGGAGTGAAGAAAGAAAATGATGCTGGAAATAGAAAAGGGATGAAAAATAAAGTTCTTGTGAAGGTGGGGAAGAAAGGGTGTACACAGTGGCACGCATAAGAGCGACCCTTTAAGGAAACACACACTGACTTCACTGTTCTAGGAAGGAAGAGGGGAGCTGAGTACCAATACTAGGGGTATGTGGATTTGGTGTTGAAAAGATGATAGTTACTACCTGGGGCTTTTTTCTCCAGTGAACAATGAAGCAAGGTCATCAGGATCAAGTAAGGGAGCAGATGGCAGATGTGGAGGAGCGGATATGAATAGGAAGTAAAATGTCCTGTACAGATAAATAATTTGAGCTCTTTCTTACTTTGACATTGAACACTATTTTTGGGTACATCCTATACAGAGGGTGCCAAAAAATATATATACACAATTTAAGAAAGGAAAACTGTATTAAAATTGTAATACTCAATATACCAATAACAAAAGATGAATACAAATCACGTTTGACTTCTGCAATTACAAGAGGTGCTCAAAGTGGTTACCAGCAGTGTCCAGACACTTCTGATTACCGCAAACTACTGCTTGAGCAACGGTGACCGAAGTGTCCACTTGTATACGTTTTTTGGCACCCCCGGTATATGAGAACAAAACTCTGACATGTTTGTTTACTGTTTTTTATAAATTTGAATGTTAAAAACTTAGTGTCTTCAGATCCAAATCTAATTCCCACTGCCTCTTTCATCACTATCCCATTCTTTGATAATGTGACACAACCTTAATCTACACATTCCATTTTGAAAATAAAAGAATGTGAGAATTCCTGTTAGAAAAAAAAAAGTAGTTTGCCAATATATAAATAGTAAAATGTCTAATGTTAGAGAATTATTAGGTAGGGTTATAGGAAATGTTAATTGATTTAGTTAAATCATGAATCATGATAAAATTACACGTTATGCAGAAAAGGAGCACTGAATACAATGCATTGCCCTGAGTCTTCCAATTGGCATTGACCTGCTTTTAACACAGAAAAGTGAAACATCTCATTAAGTGACTTTAACACAAACTGATTAAATGTTAATTCAATTCATTAAATACAAATCCAGTGGTGAATAATAGAAATATTATAATTATATTCATATTAAACTCATAAATAATGCAGAGAAAAGAATAACTTATGAAGTATGAATCCCTATAGCAAATCATATTCTCCTAAGGGGAAGGATGGGGAATTTTAAGAGTTCTAAATTAGGTAAGTATATATTTCATGGACACCTTATACTCATCTGCTTTTAGAACCTGTGCATGAAAAAAGAACAGGTTTATTTTCATGAACTGAAATTGCAGCTTTTGGGAACATGTGCCTAGATTGTAATTTATAAACCACATATTTAATATATAAACCACACATATATTAAAAACCTTGGGGCAAAAGTTTAATAACATAGCATTATAAAACTTTGAAACAGTATATGGTGAGTGAAAACAGATTTAAGGAGCCTTGCTTTTTGTCATCTAATATGTTTTTAACGAACCCTACAGAGTCAGAAATTCAAACTAACTTCACATAGATTCCTTTCCTGATCCCCCAAAATTCAACCAAGTAGGTCCTTTATTGGAATTGCTGAGAAAAATTGTCTGAGACAGGAACGTGTAACGTGAGCATCTGGGTAGAAATCATGAGGGACTTTGCGTGTCTACTCCAGCCTTTGAACATCCTTTCACTTCCCCTTCCACATATCCTGGTCCTTCAACTCACAACACTTTTTGTCTCTTCTGCACTTGGTTGTTCCACTTATCTCATATTCTTTCCTAATGAAAGGCTTTCATGATCTTCCCTGACTAGGTCAAATCACCCCATTATCAGCTCTCCTAGGCTTAAATATATCTCTTTTTCATAGAACACATCACAGTTATAATTTCATACTTCTTTGAATGATATCTTGATTGACTCTTGATAGAAGCACACATGGTAAAAGAAAATGGCCACCGATCACTGCATCCTCAGTACTTGATGTATAATAGTATTTATGCTATAAATACTAACTGAATAAATGTAAAGAGTTTAAGAAAATTAGAAGATGCTGCAAAATATTGATCAATAATCAAACTATAGACTTATTAGTGTATTCATTGCATTTTAGCTCTACAATATGTTGTTAAACTTATGCATTCAAAAATATAGTCTGTCCAAATAGACAC